TCCTGTGTGTGTGTCAGCACTCCACTGTTTACCACACCGCATGCAGCCTCTGGGCAAACTCACTCCTCGGGTTACCTGGGAAGACCTTTGGGGGGCCTGCGTTTGGAAGTTTGTCTGCTTATACGGATGCATGCTGCTGGCCCATGCTGTAACTCAGAGCCCGTAGAGGAACGAGACGTAGGGCCTTGACCCACAGACCCAGGATGGAACCGCTGCCATCACGGAAACCTGACAGCGAGCTGACCAAGCCCTGACTCCCTGCTACCCTCCTTGAACGGTTGATGACCAAGGATCTCTCAACTTCCAAAAGCCAAAAGGGCTGTTGAGTTTGGGTTCTACTTGCTGGAACCTAAAAATGTACCCCACCACCACCACCGCCCCCATCACCCTGCCTGATTCCCTCCCGGTGCAACTCGCTCACCCCCACGCCCTGAGAGCTGGACCCCCCGGGGGCCTGCATCCTCCTCACTCTCTGTTCTTCCCTCCCGCTTCCTGTGACTGGCGGCCCTCTGAAGCGAGGTGAGTGGCAGCTGGGTGTCCCTGTCCTGGGTGCCCCCTCTGACTGGTGGACAGAGAGAGGGTGGGTGTCTGAGGAGAGGCGAGCACTCGGGGCAGGGATGCCCAGTGGCTGAGCAAATCCCGAGGAGAACAAGGTCTTCCCACATCGACCAGAGTCTTCTCTGTGGACTCTGCTTCCGTCAGTGCACTGCTCCCTAGCCGTGCTCTGAGGCTGTTCGCCGCTCACCGCTCTTCCAGCTCTGGGGGGATTGATGGAGAGCTGGTCTTGTGGAGGGCAAGAAGGATGGCCAGTCTGCCGAGGGGTCCAGCCAAGCGGCATCTGTAAAGTCCCTCCAGCTCTCCGGTCGCTGTGACCCTGGCCATCGTCCCGCACACGACAGGGAGGGTGCAGTAGGGGGTGGGATGGGAGGTGGGGGGTAGCAGCAAACAGACCTTCTGTCTGTCTGCAGTCAGTGAGATTTCTGGCTGAGCCTCCTAGTAAGGGACAGTTCAGCCCTTTCCCATGTGGTGGTGCAGTGGTTATGAGTTGGGCTATTAACCACAAGGCCAGCAGTTCAAAACCACCAGCTGCTCCCTGGGAGAAAGATGAGGCTTTCTGCTCCCGTAAAGAGCTACAGGCTAAGAAGCCCACAGGGCAGTTCTTCCTGTCCAATAGGGCTGTTTGACTCGGTGGCCGTGAGGCCGAGTTACTGATCCAAGGTCCAGTGAGGTGCCTGAGTTCACTAAGTCGTGGGGGGAATAAGACTGCAGTGAGACATTCGCCTCGCAGTGTGTAAGCCATGCCCCTCTGCTTCTCACCCTCAGAGAAAATCCAAGATCACTGCCTCCCGCAAACTCATGCTGAAGGTGAGGCGGAGAGGGCGTTGGGGGTGTGGGGTGTCCATCCAGAAGTACAGGGGATGCAGGGCAGGCTCTGCCGAAGGAGTGGGGGGAGCACTGGAGGGCGAGGAGCAAGGAGGCTAAACCACCCATGCTACCTTGGGGATGACGCCAGCAGAAGGAACCTGGGGGGTATGTGGAGCTAGTGCTCAGTGGGTGGGAATTCAGACCGGGGGTCCTGGTGCCTGCCGGTGCCCTCCTGAGAAGAAGCAACTAGTTTTAGGGTGGGACTCCACTGGCGGTGGCTGAGGGACCCCTTAGGGGTCAACACAGACACTACGTGGGAGAGAGGGCCACCAGGAGTTTACAACAAGCTTCAGGGGCTGAGGGACGTGGCGAGTGGCCACTCCATGCCTGCGCACACATGCCCACAAGTCCACACTCAGCCCAGGGCTCCTCCCGGTGCCCTGTCCTGAGAGCACTGGGCCCGCCAAGTCTGGGCCCTGCCCTCCTCCTTCCCTGGTGTGGGGTGCTACCCCAGGAGCCCCCGGGCCCTGCTCACAGGCTGTGCCCTGCCCAGAGCCTGATGCTGGCCAAGGCCAAGGAGTGCTGGGAGCAGGAGCACCAGGAGCGGGAGGCTGAGAAAGAGCGGTACCTGGCCGAGCGCATCCCCTCCCTGCAGACCCGAGGCCTGGCGCTCAGCGCCCTGCAGGTGAGCCACGGGTCGGGCCGGAGGGGTGGGGGTGGGGGGCGGGCAGCTCCAGGGCCCAGGTGTCAGGAGCTAGGACTCACCGCTCTGCTCAAGGCTTTGCAATTCACAGGGTGCTTGTCTGGGTTCCCTACTGCTGCTCTAAGGAGAGACCACAGGTCTCTGAGGAACAGACAGGTCTTTTCTCACAGTTAGACTAGAGGTTCAAACCCAATGCCTTGACTCAGTGGGAAGGCTTTCATTTGGGGAAGGTCCTGGTCTCAGTTCGAGTTCTGCTCTTTGGGGATGGTCCCGTGGCCTGGCCCCTGTCTCCCCTCCTCTGCTCGCTTCTCTGTATAGACTCTGCTCTTTGCAAGGGGATTGGTTTACAACACAGTCTATGAGGGTATGGTCTCCTTCACTAGCAGGGAAAACCCATTCCCAATGGGATTATAATCCCAGGGACTGGGATTAGGGACAAGTTCCAGCAGAACTGAGGGTCAAACATTGGGCTGCTAACTACAAGGTCCAGAGTTCAGACCCACCAGCCGATCCAAGGAGGAGGAGGAGGAGGCAGTCTTCTCCATAGAGATTTACAGCCTCGGAAAGCCTACAGAGCAGTCTACTCTGTCCTGTGGGAACGCTGTGAGTCACAGCCCACACCATGGTAGTGGGATAGAGGGTAAGAGGGGGGATGGGGAGGGCCGGAGGATACCATTCAATTCATCACCGTGCTCTTCCCTCCATGGACCCCTCATTTAATCCCCCAGCAGCCTGTGAATGGGTGATACTTGGTCCGACCTTACAGGCACAAGCTGTGAGAGACAGAGGGATGTAGACACTTGTGTCGGGTGGGGCAGAGCCAGGGCTCAGCTTCATCTCTGACCAGTGCAATGGCACAGAGGACTTGGGAGGCCCCATTTCTCCAGGAACTTGCCTCTGTCCCTTCCCGGGTGTAGCGGCTGTACACCCTCGCTGGGCTGTAGCAGCAAGGTCCGCAGTTTGAAGCCACCAGCTGCTCCTCAGGAGGAAGCCGAGGCTTTGGACTCCTGTAAGAAGTTGCAGTCTCAGAAACTCACAGAGGCAGCTCTGTTGTCCTGGAGGGCTGCTAAGAGTCGGCCCTGACTCGACGGCGGTGGGTTTGGCTTTGGTTCGGTCTCTTCTCTAGCTAGCCCTGGTGACATCGTGGGCCACATGCTGAGTGGCTAAATGCAAGGCCCGCAGTTTGAAACCACTCGCTGCTCCAGAGGAGAGAGATGAGGCTCTCTGCTCCTGAGAAGCTTCAGACTTGTAAGCCGGCAGGCTCCTCTGCCTCCTGCAGGAGTCAGGATTGACTCCATGGCGGTGGGTTCGCTGTTCTGTTTTTGGTTGGTTCCTCCCCTAGAGATAAGTCTCTGATGTTTTAAAGACGCCGATCTCTGTTTAAATGCCAGTGGCCTCGGAGAGGAGAGACTGGAAGGAAATGTACCAAAATCTTACCGATGACTGTTTCGGGATATGGCATTACTAGTGATTTTTATTTTACTCTTTTTGCTTAATAGAGTGTTCTCAAACCTTCCACATCTAACGTCTATGACTTTGATCAGAAATCTCCCCAAAGCCAAACCCATTGCCAACGAGTCCACCAACTTAAAAAGGGGAGGAAGTGGTACGGCAGAGACAGGGAAAGAGACTGCTGACTCCGGTGTGAACCTGGGGCTCCTGGTGCTCATCAGCGCCTCTCCAGAGCCCGGGCTGGAAAGGGGCTGAGGCTGGGGGTGGGCAAGGACTTCAGGCGTGGAGGCAGAACAGAGCCTGAAGACTGCATTGTCCACCCCAACCCCCGCCCCTCTCCTCTCCTGCTGGGTCAATGCTCCAGGAGCTGTGCCGGGAGCTGCACGCCAAGGTGGAGGTGGTGGACGAGGAGCGCTATGACATCGAGGCCAAGTGCCTGCACAACACCAGGGAGGTGAGCGTGGGGCAGGAGAAGGGGCACAGTGGGAGGGAGAGCAGATGCTGTGGGCGGGCAGGTCGGCTGTGTGCTGGGTCCCC